CACAGAGAATATGGTTTTTAGTGTGAGGTAATACTATGAATTTTTGATAGGATTGTCCTTTTTCACAGGATTGCTCCAGAGGAGTTGAGGACTGTCTTGATTCAATAGTATCAAAATTTATACCTGTGATACATGTCCAGAATTTGGCTTGTTTCAGATACACTCACCCCAGATGTAGGAAAAAAAATCCAAACAACCTTTCTCCAGCTAATACTGACTTTTTTTTTTTTTTAATAGTAAGACAACATGAGGATGAGGTACCACTGCTAGTGTTTTGGCCAGCTTCCTGGCACAAGATTTTAATTCAAATTAAAAGAAAATTTTAAGAAAAGAGATTGGTAATGGTTAAAAGATGTTTACTAGGAAGAGTATTTACCCTTTGTTTGGTATACATACCTAATATCAAGCAAAACACTTTTGTTGATGGTTTTATTTTTGTCTTGCTTTCTTCTGAAAATCTCACTACTGAGGGGGATTTAAACCTTACCTTAAATTTACCAGTTGATATTTCAGATCCTAGAAGTCAGGAATTTTATTCATCAGGTCCATTCCTGACACAAAATATTATCCAGGCAGGTGTCTGGGCTGAACAAGTGCTGCCCTCCCTAAGGATTTATTTGTTTTATGCACATAACCATTTGTTGATCACACCAGTATATTATACATCACTTTCTGGTTCCTTACAGTATTCTTTTATTCAGACAAAGAGAGGCCAAATGAAATGGTCCATCTCTTCTTCTGCCTTGACAACACAAAGAGACTGTCTGGTTAGTCAGAGGCATAGAAAATGTGAACCGAACAATTTTGTTTTCAACTTATTTCTCATACTGGAGGTTGAAACCAGCAAAAATCAGATATGTTTCCATAATGGCATATTCCCTAGCGGCTCATTGTATGGGATTTATAAGGTTGTATTGAAGAGAAAATTAATTGAGAAAACTTCAGGAATTGAAAGGGGAGAGGATGCAGAACGCAGATTTCTTATCTCTGAAATAAACAATCTGGAGGTGTATAAAAATATAGGTACAAAGAAAATGTTGAATAAGCTTCTATTCTTAGGGTGTCTACTACATGCTGTAGCATCAGAAAAAATAGTATGTATTTTATATCAACATAGACAAAAGTACAGCAAGACAGAGAAGAAAAGACATGCTGTTACAGCGTATAAGGTAAGAAGTCAAAGAGAAAACCGTATTATAGTAGCTACTAGAAAACAAAACAGAAAAATACATTACCTTCTGACGACTCAGGTTAGAGAAGTTAGAGTCCAAATTAAAGCTCAGCATCTGAAGGCAGAATCTGAGGGCAACAAATCAAATAGAGGACCTGATCCAGAGATTAAGTTATATAAAGCACTAAAAGACCACTTTCTTCCCAAATTAACTGATCTTATATGTTATTTTCTGGACTTCAAACCTTTAGCTGATACTCTGAAGGAAGGGGATAATATTGCTTTAAAGGCTAAGAAAGATAGAAATGATTTTTCATCACATAGCAACATGCCGCTCTTAAATACAGAGTTTAGGAGATTTGTAGCAGTACTGACAGCTACATTAGAATCAGTATTACCTGAAGTACTTTGCACAGCCTCAGTGAAAATTAGTCAGAGACGACTGCTGTTAGATAACTTCCGTATGTTATTGATCATGAGACATTCAGATATAATAACATTAAAGTTTTGTGTACTGTTTTCATTGAAGAAGGAAAAGGCTTGTGGTCATCTTAAGTGGAAATTCAGGAAGGAAACATTAATAGAAAATGTAAGAAATAAATGGACTGAAGTTGTACCCTATAAACTCTTAGAACCCTCCCAGCTTTCTAGACAGACATGGAATAGTTATTCACTGTTACCAATCCCGTTTGCATTATTCTGGAAACGATTTGTACAAGAAGTGAGGATAAATAAACCAAAACCATGTTTAAATGCAAACAAGTTGATTTATCAAACAATGTTATCTTTGAAGGAAATCCTGTTAGTGATTCAGACTGCTTCAAACCCATTGCATCTGAGAACATTTCAGCTTCTAAAATTAATTATTTCAATTCACAAGCTTTGTGAATATGACATTCAGGTCAAAATGAGATCAGGCTACAAATTCAATTTAAGGTGGTCACATGCCACAGGAAGTTCAGGGTAGCCAACATTACATATAATTTAATAAAATAGTACAACGCTCTCTAGCAACACTTGCTTACAAAATTAAGCAAGTAGTCCTGTGAGCAATAAAGCTAAGAAAAGACCAGTTCCAATGGATCAGATCTTGTGGTTGGAGTCACTGGAGTCTAAAAAAAGTGTTATGTGTATATGCAAGGATGAGTAATAAGGTCTCTCTTTTCCGCTTGACTCCTGTTTTCATGAAACATAAGATCTCATGTCTTTAAAATTACCTCTCCACCAGTTGAAAGGTTGTGGAGGGAAGAAAAGTGGAAAAGGCTAATTTCCTAGGAACCTCCACTAATATGATTACACAACAATTAATTATAGTGTTATGGCAAAAATTCTTTTATACCTGAGGATCACGTTTTACTTCCAGAATCTTGTAGTAAAGGTCTCTTCATAATGTGTTGCAAAAGTCTTCTGATCATTTGCAGAACAGACTGCTAGCCATTAGGAGGAAATCTCTTTATAGACCTAAGTAAGAGGTTGCTTATATGTTACTCAATGTATAACTTTTTTTCATTAGTAGCCCAAACAAACACTGGGGCAAAGTACAATGAAAGGAGAAGGAGAAATGGCTGTTCAAAGAAAACAAGAGGATTTCTCTGTGCTGCATAGTCTTCTGATTTATATTGTTAAATACCAAGCGGGAAGAGCAATGGGAAGTCCATTTGGTAGCACTTCCCATTTTAAAGGTACCTTCAATGTTGTGCAACTCCTTCATAATTTACTGCACTAAAAAAAAATTTTCCTCCTGGCCCTGCATTTTTACAGAGCAGTAAAGGGGCTCTGATAGTACGACTCTGTTACATGAAAATGGAAAGCAGAGAAGAAATGGGGGAGAGAACTTATCACAATAGAAACAGTGTCTGTGCCACTGCTTTCCATTCAGAGTGTCCTACCTAGGAGCTACCGAACTGACCAGAGTCTAGGCAGAAAGGGAAACCTGAAAGGCTAAAAATTTCTGTTCAGCAAATTCTGTATCAGGATAGAGGTACCTAGAAGGGACTGCCCAGGGAGAGGGAGAGCTTTAGCCAAGGGTGGTTATGGATTTAACATTGGACACCCAACTCGTTCTACAACAAAAAAAAGAACAAAACAACCCCCTCAATTATGTTCCTTTGGTATTTAGCATTTTTTCAGATTTAAAGGACATCAAGCTATTTCTAGTAAAAACTGAAAAGACTGTGGATTAGTTTGGATAAGAGTTTTCACTTGTACTATGACCATATTCAAACCCAGGGATCTTAACGAAGATTTACCTGTATAAGTTTGGGAAAAAACCTAGAACTAAGTTGTGTTACGATCCTCTGGCAATATTACTTAGATTACCAGGATGCATATGTTCACTGTACCTATCTCTCAGTTATAATGCCTTTTGTTGACATCTATATATTTAAATGAAGAGATGGTTAAGATTAGTGAAAAAAGTGCTCCTTTTCAAGAAGTACTGCAGTATTTCCTGCACTTTGGGGGAAAATGAGCAAACAAAAAACCCAAACGTGCACGCCTAAAGATGTTTAAAAAAAACCCAAACCTTTTTCATTGCTGTATGTAACATTATTTGCCTGTGCTTATCCAAAGTCTGTTCTTGCTTTTCTTGTGATTGTAACATGTTCAACATAATCTGTATGTAATCTGAGAGATGAATTTCTTGATAGCAAAGTACCAAATACAACTTTTGTGGAATACCGATAGGCATGTTGCCACTCAGTTCCATGTTTGGGACTGATACTCCACAAAACCTTTCACCAGGACTTCTATAGCTAGCTAAGAGTGCGTAAACAGAACCTGCAGCTGTAGGACCTGAAATAACAAGAAGATATTGCTGTTTTCATCCCCCAAATTAAAAATATGACCAATTTCTAACACTTCTAAATGCACCTCTGTGTCAGTTTGTGTAACACTTGAACATTCTTTTTCAGTGTACATTAAAAGAGACTTTTCAAATTATCCTCTTAATGTAAGTAATGATATTTTGACTACTACAACTTTTGTACAGGCAAATGATGGGCTGTAAAAATGTAGCTGAGCATCCACTGGTGGCACTTTTTAGCAGGGCTCTGTAATTTGAATCTATGTTGTACGTTCTCCATCACAGAATTTGCTGCTGTTTCAAAGTATTCAGTCATTTTCACCAGTTCTGGAGATTCTAGGAGAGTTGGATTAGTGTTTGTTCTCACTGTTGCCATATTGACAACTCAGCTAAGACAAGCTTATTTTAAAAAAGCTGTTTCTAACTCTTATAGCTGTGAAAAATCTATCTTGAAAAGGTGACATGACTGCCACTGATTCAGTGATGTGAATCACTCTGACATTTATTTTGAGAAGTTTGTGCTACGTGCTAATCTCAGTGAGGCTCTAGCTATGAAATGTAATGATAGCAATTTATAAATTGTTTTTTAAAAGCATTTAGAAGCACAAATTCCATTGATTTGGGAATAAAATTTTTGCTCCTGAATTATTAAAGCACTTGAAAAAAAATTCCTATTAGCTATTTCTCTGCTAATAATTCTAACATAAGTATCCAGGTAAAATAATTTCCAAATAATCCAAACCTATCTTATGCCTTTCCTTTGAGAAAAAAAGTTTCCAGTTTTTCACTGTAGCTATGTTGTCTGTTTAGAAAAATACCATACATTGTTACGAAGTGCTGTTAGGCATAAAACAATCAGTACAAGGGTCCTACAACGTTTGAACGTCTATTTGTTTGACCTACAACTGTGCTACAGGACCAAGGCACACCACCACCACCACCACCAGAAGTGAGCTCAGTTTACCTCGCTGCATACCTTTGAGCGTGTAGCTCAGGAGACACATTCCTAGACAGAGCACCCTCAAGGCTAATGTGGACCTCCTCCAAAACAGCCTCTTCTGGAGCCTGTGTCCGGCTGAGACATGGGCTTAGGAACAGGAAAAATTTCAAGTAAGAAATTTGATAGAGTCTGACGTTTATCTTGCCTGCTTTTGTGTGCACAAAGTACAACTGCTGTATTAAGATGGAATGTATTTTAGAGATCCACCACAGACTCATACAGTAAAAAAAAAAAAATCTCCCCACAATAGAATAATGAAAAATAATCAGACAGTGGGGGAGGTAATTATTTTCTTAATGTTTGCAGAGTGCTCAGACATTATAATATAGAAGATCCTATAAATGTACGTTTACTATCTTTGTAACTTATAACTATGCAAACTTCGAGACCTCCAATGTTACTTTCCTGTATCACTCCATTGAGTAAAACAGAAGTAGCATCTGAATGGCAAGTGTTTTTTAACGTGTTCTCTCATTTGGCCAGACACTAGGGGTTCAGAAAACTTAGGTTGATATCAATGAACACCATTACAGAGTTACTTCTAGTAGAAAGTTCTCCATTTTTAGAAAAACAAAAATAAACTAAGAGGGGGTAATGACACTGAGTGAGTTTTGAGGTACACCTTTAACTAAAAATTAATTAAGAATCATATGTAATGCCTTTTTTTTTTTTTTTTTTTTTTTCAAAATTCAGTCTGAGGTTTAACATTCTTATTGGCCTTCTCTGCTGCACGCTGAAAGTCAAAGTTTGGCTGCATCACTTACGTATCTTGGTTTACTGTTCCCTGCTAAGGGGGCAGGATTCAGTGTGACTCATTCATCTGTTAAAATAAGGTTTCTTCCAGTATTAACTTGGGCCAAAACAAATCTGCACAGAGAGTAACAAAACCCAAGTTCACAATCTTTGCAGTTTTCTGCAGTTTTTAACTGAAACTGCTTTCTGGCAGTACAGTTGTGACAATTTAGCATAATTTGGTGCCTCTTTATCAAATTATTCTTGCTTTCTTACAACTGCACGTTATAGAAACATCCTATAGTGAGGGGGGTTTTGGATTAGTAATTTTAGAATAAAAATTATTGTAATAGTTTTATGTTGGGCAATTGCAGTTTTTGTTGTACAAGCACGAGGTTATACATCACACTGCTTGCCAATTATTTTTTGTACGTTTGAAACCTACAGTTCACTTAGCTGAATGATGCATTAAGAACAAATGTGCAACAAAACATTGTTCATATTCAAAACACGGGGGAAAAGAATGTCTTTTACCTTTTGTCAGCAAAACCATCACTTCACCCTGCAGGTCTTGTGACTTTGAAAGTTTTCTTTTTTTCTTAACAAAACCAAAATCCAGTTGTGGTCACGTAGGGATTATATTCTCTTGCTGGAAACATATTAGCGTCAGCACTGTAACTGCAGATAATTACCTTTAGAGCAGTCCTGCTATTCACATTTGCCTCAATTGCTGAATATTCATTTAACTCACTTTGTCCACTTTAATACCTCATGGTTGTTTTTTGAGTCACAGAGGTATAAATTACTGCACTGCAAAACTTCCTACCCAGGAAGAACAAGCTCTGCCTTTTGGTACGTGCACCTTTTAAGCACATGTGTTTTGGTTTCACTCAGGAGTTGTCGTGGTTAAAGAGAAAATGAGAGAGTGGAGGCAAAATGTATTTGGATAGCAAAACACTTTAATCACAGATGTTGCAATGTTATCAATTGCACCACTTCCCCGTCATTTGGAAGATGTGACACCATCTGGGAGAGACAGTGTAGCAGTTCCAGCCATGCAGTGCGTGGTTCTGGAGTCCCCTGGGCTCATCCCCACTCCCTGAGGTTGGAGAGATGATGCTGGACTCTGTTGCAGGCTCTTGGGGTTCCCCCCTGCCCCCAGCATCTTTTCTGTACTATGTTTACCTCTTAAGTGTCCTCAGCTACAGGACTGGGCCGCTACAGGACCTCGCTGACGATCAGCCCCTTCAAACCACACACTCATTTCCTGGTTTTCTGTGCCATCGTTGGAGCTCACCATCTGCTTCTTCGGACACTTCTGGACACGTTTGCACCGTTGCTCAGAACACGTGGTTGCTCATACTTCATCTCCTTCTACTACAGCAAAAAGTTAGTTAAAGTTCATGGGCTTATGCTAGTAGCAACGCTGACTAGCCCCAGCTCCTGCTAACAGCTACAGGAATCCTCTCTGTTACAGAAATGAAACATCTTTGCCTCTTGTTAAATAAGTAGCTTATGCAGACAGAAAGGGCCAAACATGACATTCCGGTTATGCTGAAAAAACACGTATCCACCTCCCACTGAGAGGCTTCTCTTAAAATTCAAGCATACTCCATTTCCAAATACCTTTCCTTCTAAATGCAGTAACTAAACGTTTTCCAAATCACACCCACACTTACTAATCTCCTATCCCTAGGCAGCCACTGTGAGTTCACAACTTATCCTCTGTCTTCCAATTTAAAAAACAAAAACCAACCATCATCAACACAGCCATGGTAAAGTTCTGTCTGTGCTCAGCAGCCACTGAAACCAAGTTTCTCAACACTCGGGGCAGATACACCTCTACCATAGCTTGTCAGGCCAAGTTCAAGAAAAGTTTTAACTAGACACGGGCAAAAAGTTGCCAACTGTAGTCTTGGTTGGTACATTTAAAGGAAAATACCATTAGTTTGTCATACAACATAGAGATAAGTATTTTCTTTTTACTACACTGAAAACGGGCCAGCTGTTACTAAGTGAAAATAAAAGGGAGGAAAGAATTTAAAAGGGAGCAAATATATTATTAGCTATACTGAGACTATGCTGGATTTACTTACTTGAACTTCGCAATACTGCATTCCAGCTGCAGCAATCAAAACAGGTGACTGACGTAAAAGCGTGGAAAAAACATGGAACAGCACAAGTCTTGTTTAAAGGCTCTATATAAATAGAACACAGCCAGATCTTGGGTGGCGCACAATTTCAAATTAAAAAGAAAAAAAAAAAAACTTTTAAAAGGAACTTAAAAGACACCAGGTAGTCTTAATTTTTAGCACTCTGGATTTAAAAGTTTATAGTAGAGAGCATCCTGCTACAAGAGAACGTAAAAGGCAACCAGTACATTTTGATTGTATAAACTTAAATACACAAAGACTGAAATTGCTGGTACGCACGAAGTATCAGACACTATTCTAAACCACGGATTTAAGATTGCTGAAATTCAGTTCAAGATGATGAGACAAGCTGAACTTGTAACTGGACAACATCTCTCTAAATCAAAACCTTTTCTCTAAGAATAGAAGGCAAGGTACTTTTACGTATTTTTCATCTTTATTTCATAAGCACTTTGTTATTTTTCTCTAACGATTTTCATTCATTTTATCTAGTAAAACCATTCAGTTCTGTAAATAGTACTCAAGTCTGGGCAGGTCGTGCACCTCTCTTGAAATAAAATCCAGGAAACGGTGGATTTTACGCATCAGTATTTCAGTACACATCAGTAGTTTTTCTAGACTGTTTCACATACATAAATAGAGCACATCAAAGTGCTGTTTCTTTCTACATGTTGGTATTTGGACTCCAACAGCCATTTGTGCAAACAATTCTCACTTTGGAAGAAAAAGGCTTCCTTCAATTGCAGAATTCCATCAAATATCGTCTACCTGCAATTCTGATGTGTACAGGGGATTACACAAAATGCAAAGCTTTCTCGCAGCTATTATATTAAACTCTATTCCAACTACAAGATTCGATAATATTACCAAAACAACGTTTATGTTTTGGAAGGGGCTTTGATTGCAAGATGTCCACTCTTCCAGACTTCTCAGCTTTCTGGAATGAAACAAACAGCTCACTGAAGGATTAAAAACATATTTACACTTGGTTTGCTTTAGTTGAACCAAGATGAATAAGAGTCATAACGGTAGTGTAACCATGAAGCAGGTCATCCTTTATGTCATTACATTCTCTTAATACAAAATTCCCAGTAACTATTCGATCACATCCTATTTCCCCATGTCCAAAAAAGCCAAAGAGGGGAACGTTAGGAAAAAACTTCCTAAATGCATCTGCTTCCATATTCCTTTTGGTTTTATAATGCCGATATCCTCTGCCAACACACGCAAACATGAAGCCAATGGTGTTACGCTCGGGGATGTTTGCTGCTTTGAGACGCTGCATGGCGGCTTCTGCTGTCCTCTCATCAGCTACATCCTGGTCTAACAAAACAGTGGCACTCTGGATCTGGGGACCGCTGAAAGCCAGCCCAACCACACCGCAGGCATCGCCAGGCTGGGCATTGTTACTGAAAGGCAATAGGCACCAAGTTAGAGAACCTTCCAGGGAGACCACTTCCGACCTGAATAAACTTCTGCTGTGGCAGAAGTAGGCTTCAAAGCAGACCGACATCCTAGTGATTCTGAAAGCCACCCATAGCTAAAAAACAAACCAAAGCCTTCAAATTTTAGCAACTTTTTTTTTTTTTTTAAGCAACCTTTCACAAGGAAAAGCTTTCATATCCATTCCCAGGGATTAAGCATAAACCTACCTTTCAAATGCACGCCAAATTCAGCAGTTTGTTTATGTCACAGCTCTGTAATTCCAACTAAACTATTAGTTAAACTTAAGCAAAGGTAGTCGGCATTTACATATCAAACCAGGGCAACAGTCAACAATGGCTTCAGATTCACGTTGCTTTAAGGCTCCTTGGTTAGCCAGGACACACTGGTTTTAGTAGTTACCTGCTTATGCTTTATTAGCAATAATTTAATATACAGTCAGGTCTCTTATCTGGAGTAACGGTGCAGCTGGCGTGCATTAGATGCAAGAAAAATGTTGGTACTGCTACGGAGTTCAGACCTACGCTGGCATGAGAGGAGCCCATGGCAATGTCTGCACTGTGCACCCCTGCACAGGACGCTCCAGTGAGGATGCGCCAGCACCCGCGATTCAGATGGCACAAAGGGCTCTCCCCGTGCAGCAGAGCAGCTGGAGCAACTGGAGCCCAAATAGGCCCTGCAGGGATCCTGGCAGAGGGAAGGGGTTTAAGCTAGATGAGATCTAGACCAGTCCTGTGAGCGCCACATCCTTCAGCAGCAGCAGCAGCATATTAGGTGTGCTCCTGAGGCATGGTCCTGTTTGCATGTTCAACTACTGCTCTGTAAAGTGAACCAAACCGAGGCTGATACAGAAACAGAACGTTCATGTAACTGGTCTCTGCCACAACGAGTGATAATTTATCTGCAAGCCAGGGAGTAAAACAGACTGCAATAAACACATAGCGTATCTGAAGCTGGAAATCTCTGTTGCAGTGGGCTTCTCCTAACTGGGTTTCCAGAATCCAATTTGTAACACAGTCATACAAAGCTTCCAGCTTTTCTGGCTAGATCACAGCGTAGCAGTTGGACTTCATGATCTTAAAAAAAAAAAATTAACATTTTACTACTGTTAATGGGCATTTCTAGTATGACATAACTAAATGGCTATGGCTTCTGCAGTGTTTCTCCCATTTTAAATCTTCTTTACAATTTACCCTGAAAAAGATACCTACTTCTCAGAGGTCAGTGATGTAAAGCTCTCCACTTGTCCTCCAGCCAGGATGATACTCTTCTCATTCAAAGGATTGACTATTTGATGAAGAAATCGAGTCGCTCCAGACTTCCAGGAGTTGTAGCCAAACAGAAGAACCACCCGGAGATCTGGGTTATTCTTCAGACCTACGAACAAAACCACAAACACCAACCCTCTTATTTTGAAATACTGACCCCTGAAGTCCAACCATCCTAGCCTCTCCTCAAATAACACATCACACCGTTAGTGATGGCTTTCCATTGCTGCAATTGGGAAAAGAAGACACAAGTTGCTCAGGCATTCAGGAGCTGGGCCGCGTTCCCCACGTAAGTGAGAATTTCTGAAAAGAACCTAGCAAGGAAAAGAAGGCTGCACCTGCTTCCTCCAGCTTTCAACGTCTTTAGCAGAGCATTTGAGTTTTACCACAGCCTCTGAAGGCACAGCTCCTCAGTTTTACTTGGCAGCCTTAACAGTCCCTTTTACAAGTAAGAACCAAGTGTCTAGTTTATTCAACAAGAACCACAACACAGTAAATAACTTTACCTGAAAATTAAATATATTACGTACATCAGCCAGTTGCTTATCCCAAGGCAGAAACTCTCAGGTTCCTAGAATACTCAAGAATCCCTCATTATATTACTCTTCATAAATGATCTACCCTGCTGAGAACACAACATGAGGAATGTAAACCGTATTTACTGAAATACGCTGTGTTCCATTCTACCCCTCCTTGCTACAACACCCGACTTGGGATCTAAGTGCAAAGTTATTCTGGAGAAGAAGAGAAGCAGCTCCTCCCCGCTCGTTTCTAAACCGCAGTGATGGGAATCATTCCCAATGGCACAAACTCATTTATTGTTATTTTTAAGCCATTAGAGGTTGCTCAACATGGAATAGCTCTCCTTGGAACCTAACTGAGGTAATCTGAGATCAATACTCAGGATAACTTAATCTGAATACTTCAGAGAATCGGAAGAACAGATGTGCATAATTACCAGCTGCAGCCTGAGAGCACCACAGCGTGCTCTATGAATGGAGTTAGAACATAAGCTGTTGTTTCCATGCTGGCGCCTGAAAGAGCAATACCACACTTCATAAAAGCCCAAAAAAGGGGAGAACGAGGACATACCTGCTTCAGCAAATTTACTTTCATCAAAGACCCTGTTCTTCAAGTCTTTTGAAAAATGGAAGGTATGAATTTTCACCCCATCGATTTTGGGAAACAACAGAGCAAACCCAGCTTCGCCCTCTTCAATTTCTTGAGGATGATTGCTGCTTGAACCCATAGGGGTAACTACAAAGATACAAAACCAGACATCTTGTGTTCAGTCATTCCAATACTTTTGTCTACACTGTAACACAGATTGAAAGAGGCAGAACAGCTTACATAACGTAAAACGTGATCGTTCATTTCCGTAACAACATATGTAACTGATGACTGGTGTGATTTTTTCGTTGATGTTTTGGTAAGATGAAGCATGTCTGAGTCCTTGCTGGCTATAGATCATGCTGACCTGACTTTGGACAAGGAGACATGGATGCGTTTGGACATTTCCCCCCAGCCACACCAAATATGAATCAGTTGGAAAACAAGCACTGCGCAATACAGCAGCCTCAAGCCCTCCTGCCAACTTCTGCAGGTAGGCAGAAATACTCAGATTTTTACGGACCACAAGTGAAACGGAGAAAGGTGTTATACAAGCGTGTGATGACAGTATAAACCAAACTGACACAAATATGGGGAGTGTATTATTGAATTATGGTAGCAATAACAATTAAATACCCTACTTATGCTGTGGGAAGAAAATTTAAGGCAAGAAACTAAGAAAAAAACTTTCTAGTGATAAAAAGCGAAGCACTAGAAAAAAGACTGCCAAAGGAGACTGTGAGTTTTCCACAGCTGCTGCATACACCTCCTGCTAGGCCATAACAAACAGGTACGTACTGAGGACGTCCTGTACGATTACTCACAATGTGACTCTGAAAAATGCAGATAAATCCAAGACGCGGTCAATAACTACATTAAAGTGCCAAGAAAAACTGCAATAAGCTGCCTGCTCATTTAAATCAAGCCTTTTAATTATAACTGCATCACACGAAGTAAGAATTTAAGCTCCGTGTGACTCAATAGCGACACTGCGAACTCCTGGAAATTGAAGCTAGCGCCGAACAAGGTGGGAACAGCACATGGTAATCGCTGTGAGAACTCTCCCGTCAGTCTGCAGGACTACGCTTTGAAAAAATGTATGAAATTGTGAAAAATGGGAACTAGAATAGATGTGCAATAGGCTGGACGCCTCCAAGCTCACAAAATCGCAGGTTTTCCTCCTACCTACAATCCCTGGGGTGACCAGTCCAAGAACCTGACATCGCTTTGGCAACAATTTTTCAAGTGCGATTGCCGTTTCTTTACTGTTTCTTTTCCTGGCTGTTAAAAAAAGAAGAGAGAAAAGCAGAGAAGAGTAAAAATCAGTTGCTCTGAACAGCGCTGGAACAAGCCCTGCAGCCAATCCCATCCTGTCTAACCAACACTGCCTGTCAGTGGCTGCCCCATTCCCAGCGTGGCAAATCCGTACTAGTCGGTGAGAGCACGGGACTGCCGGCACGCCAACAGAACCGACGTCCTCCAGGGAACGGGGAAGGAACTCGTCTACATCTAGGAGCCGCGCTTCCCGCTGCAAACATAGAATGACGCAGTCTCGTTTTCCCGCCAAGGATTTACTCTCCCTCGAGCTCGACGTTCGGAGGTCTCCCTTTCGGCCAGCTTTCCTCCATGCGCCGCCCTTACGCCCGCAAAGCGCTTCTCGAAAGCAGGAGTGAGTGGGTCGGGGTTTTACCTTTCTTCTGCTCGTGGCACTCCTCGTGCCCGCTGAACGTTTCCGCGTCGGCTATATAGAGCACGGTCTGCGGCAGCACGTGCACCTTCTGTGGAAAAAAGACGGGGAGACGGGACCGCGCTATAACCCAACCGCCTCCCCAGCGCCCCGGCCTTCCCCCCGGGCGGCGGCGGCGG